TCACCAGGCTACCTGAGAAGGCTATCATTATGCTGCCATACAGAGCTTTGGGACAGACCTGACGCAGCTAATACAGAAGTGTTTGATGGCGAAATTCCGCCCTCTGGAAATGTTTATCATGCACACCTCTTACTTGTTTCGCATTTTACTCTCGTAGATTGGTGGGCATGATTGATATTTATATTAAGAGGGTGAGTGGGATAACTCTGTTTGTCGGCAGACGATGCGAAAGGTATTGACTTTTTGTTTTGGGGGAGCAGGAAGAAGCCACTAAGTCTCCTGAGGACCAAGTAATTGCCTACCTTACCTGCTTTCAACACATGCTTGGTAACCAGAGTTAGCCGTTTTCTGTTTTAATCCATCGAGTTTTGTCATAAGACAAATTATGATGTCAAATGGCGTACAACGGGCTTATTTTGTTCCATATTCTCGATTATTTGCCCCAAATTTCTTGAAGTGGCCCCTCATGGTTGATTTAACCATATGTTTTCCATAGATGTCATGGTTTGCTGACTGGCAAATGACTGTACTGTATATAACACTATATCTTTGACACAGGGATACTCTAAGCTGCATAGCAATCATAATATAAGGTAAATATCAGTATGTACCAAATAGTCAGACTATTACATTTAAAATGTGAAGACAACATCTCGGACTTTTTCATTAAAGATGAATAAACAAGCCAAGATAGATGCCCTTGCTGCAGCTGAAAAGGCAAGCAGCAACACTGGCATGGTCATCTAAAGTTATGTTACTTTTGGAGAAGAGAGATTGTTTTGTAAAGCATGCCCATTATTGCCCTTAACATAGGTTAACCATGGCAATCAGAATAAGTTGTTCAGAGTGATTTCAAGTGTTTTGATTTGTGCGTTGTCAACTTTATCTGGTGTCAACAAGCATACACAAATGAACTGAATAAAAATGCAAGTTGGAACCAGCCAAAAATGAGCTTTATCATGTTTTTGTCACAAGTGCTGCTGTCAACAGATAGGTGAGTTGAGATGATGTTCAACATATGGGCTACTGTAAGTCAGGTTAAATTGGTTAAGTGCATGGTAAGTGGCAATAGGAATTGTGTAAGAATCATTAACTCACAACCGCTGCTGTGATACAAACAGGTTAGACAGGATGAGATGAAGTAAGGCCTCTTTAGGTCAGGCATAGTTTGGCTACTTTCATGGAAATAAGCATTGGTATTTTGTAAGAAACAGTAACCAAATGTTTGTTTTCCCTGACCCCATCTTAACAGAAGCTAGAGGTATGTCTGTTGTGTTTGACTTGGTAATGGGCTGATGTGTAGGATTCCAAGGTTTTTTTAGTGTGTTATGCTTGTTGAATTATCTACTGTTATCTTGCTATTGAATTCCTTTGCTTTGTTTGGTGTTAAAAGTGCTGTGGAACGGAAGTGCAAAGTGCAGCATCAAATTATTGGTGTTAATAATTTTTTAAGCGCATTACGCTGTCAGGAAATTATTATGCTTTAATGTATTCTTTCTCACTTTAATGGCCTAAGATGTTAAAAAACAAAAAAGTTTTGTCAGTTTTATGATGCTACGTCCATGCGAACTTGAAGTGGATATCTTTGTTTGCATCAGCCACTAGCTCATAAGTTCCATCTTTTGTTAATTGAATTTTTCACTCCCGCATGGTCTTTTTGCGATGGAATTTTTCACTCCCACTCTAGTTCAAAAGCGACTCTAGCTCACTGACTCGAACCCACCCCGCTAGGGGTGGGTGGATTGGAATGCAGGCGCTCTAACCAACTGAGTCACGGGAGTCCATGGCATGCACGGTGGGGTAAGAATCTATGCGCGTGATGTTATTCTCATCAACTGCCAGAGGCAAGTGTCAGCCGCTGTGCACACAGTCGGGTGCACACACACATACAGGGCCCGGGACGCTTTACCCAATGTTTGACAGGCATCAATAGCACACGACTACAGGTTGACGGTAGCAAACTTCGGGTGGCCATGTAATGATAAGTTTGAGAGCATGCCATGCCATTTTGCGGTACGCAGTGAATTTAACACGCCCTTAAAAATAAATAATCTGGCAATAACCCGCCCCAAGAGGTTTCTGCTCATTCCTCATTGAAACGTGTACCTATATGGAACAGCGCTAATCCAGCTACAACACACGGCCGCCTCAAGACACCCCGGTACCTACTCCGCCAGCCGCCATTACGGCAGAGCATGTATCTCACCTAATGATACACGCCGCCGCCGTCGCCGCCGCCGCACCATTCCGTCCGTCCGCTGTTCGGATGCAGGACAGTCATTCGAAAGACACTAGGCCGAAGAACGGACCGCTTGACCAGCACTCGGAGCTCCCACTCGGCGTTTGGGTCCGTGCACCGAATAAGCAGACCCAGCCAGGAGCAAGGTGTGCATGGGGTCACCCTACCCCTCCCCTCCTCTACGCCCGTGGTGCAGGCTACAAACCTTGCTATATGTACTAAGTTGTGCACTAGGCAAAACATTTTGAGTCCTATGCTATGCATGGTGTTGCTTGCAGCACGTGAGTTAACTTAAAAAAGTGAAAGCCTGAAGCAGCACCAACCAACGTGCTAATACGAGTTCATACTCAACAACACATGAAGTTTCTGCTATATGACAATCAATCGAGCAATGTCTGACCTGCATATTGGACCTCAGATCGGGACGTTTTCTTGCGACGTCTTAAGAAGCGCTCGGAAGCATCGTTTCTATATTCAAAGCCATTTTGTACCTCTTGCCGCCCACGGCTTAGTGTTGCCTGCGGCGACGGCGCCGTCCAGCATCGGTGACTGCAAGGCCAGGCGTCTATTCACAGCGATATTTTGATCGGCTCGCGCGTCACGAATTTAAGTTCTAGCGAAAAACTTTTGCTATGCCGTGTACTTTTGGGCTTCAGTGCCAAATAGTCTCTTTGTCTTACTTGATTACGTTACTGTTGACGCACCTTAACGAGTATATCATGTTCAGGACTCAAAGTTTTGCAATGTCGGCCTTTGATATCGTGTAGCAGCTCAGCTATTCAAGTTGTTACAGTGAAAGGACATTGTAGGTATGACGACATATTCGCGCCCGTTACAATGCACCTATTCACGATAGATTTGTCGAAGTTCGCAAGCCCCGCAATATGTTGATCTGCCTGCGCTCATTGCACAGGAAGCAACAGCTGCCGGTGCTAGCCAGATATGCCTCTAATGTAGTTGTGTTCAGCTAGGGAACGTCGCTACACGGAGGCTGTAATACCCATTGCCAGTATTTTCAACCACTGTAGTAGGTATCTAGGTGAGGGATCAAATCACATGTTTTTATGTGTCAAGTCATGTTACAGACCAAGTGAGTCGTACTAACATGCAGCTAGCAATGGTTTTGCCTACTATTTCGCGACGGAATCTAAGGTACCACAAGCGTTGGATTATTGAAGTTGAGTGGGCACTTCTGACACAGTCTTACAGTTCCTTGCAACTTGCAAGCATCACATTTCATGGAGCATTTACCTTACGCCAACTCTGGCTTTGCGCATCATGCGGTATTGATTTGGCATCCTGGCTGGTCACTGTGTCTTGACAGCTCTGAACGCCACTGTCCGCCGTGGAAGTATATAGGATAACATGTTACAAGTTGCGTTAAGCAGAAATGCTCACTGTTGAAGTTCTGGTGCTCTTGATACTGTATTGTTGATCGTTTCACTTACTATATGATGCCCCATTGTCTATTATAATGTATTGCTGGGTATAAAACTGCATGTGTCTTTCTGGGAAGGTGACTTTGATCATCTTGGTCCTTTGTTGCTATACTCTGCCGATTTTTGTCATTCTGAACCGTCCGGTGTGAACAAATTTCAAGGTTAGGAAAGTTGATACATGTTCTAGGGCTAGTGCCAGCGCTCACTGTGTTGTGATTTGTTCGGTTGCGTGGCTTTTTTCCTCTTTCTAGTTTTCTAGTTGCGCCATTGTCGCCGGTTGCATTTGCGCAACGCTGTCTTTTGGTAATTTGTATAGTTCATACATGTGTGGCCTATATCTGTCATGCTGATTGATGTCGACGATGCTGCGAGGAAAGAACCAACGGCAACGTTATCATTTCCGTGCAAGAGCTTTCCAGGGAAGATTAAATCAGAAAAATCTGTGGACGATGCAACATCAGGACGGTCTCCTTTTATTTTAGCTTCGATTCGTATTTCATTCGTGCATAGTCCTCAACGAAGCTCTGTGGTTCGTGGTGCATGTGTTTTTCACATGCGGCCTATCTCCTGCCGGAGGAACGTAGTTGAGCGTATGCACACCGCAGCTTTGTTTTATGACAACAGGCCCTGGCCAGGGGCGCTCGCGCCGCCACCACCGACATCATTGGCTGGATGGCGGCCTAGAGAGGATAGCGGAAGGCGCCGCGGCGCTTTACAGTGCGACTATGGCGCGCAGTGCAGCTATTAGAGGGGCTGGCACCCTCCCCCTCCCCCCCCCCCCCCCTCCCGGCGGGAATAATGCACCTAACGCTGCGGTGCACGAATCAGATATAAAACTGAAGGCATAAATATTATGTTGGCGAAGCTGTGACCTTGCGTGCCCTGGAAAGCGGTTGTAAAATGCTCGGCAGTGACTCAGGACGGCTGTAGCAGGTTACAGATCCACTGAGGTTCGGCTGTAGGGTGCCCAGGAACGACTCAGTAGCGGTTGTAGCAGGCTTGGGAGCCACTGAGGTTCGGCTGTAGGGTGCCCAGGAACGACTCAGTAGCGGTTGTAGCAGGCTTGGGAGCCACTGAGGTTCGGCTGTAGGGTGCCCAGGAACGACTCAGTAGCGGCTGTCGCACACTCGGGATCCCCTAAAGTTCGGCTGTAGGGTGCTTAGGAACGGCTCAGGAGCGGCCATAGCGATGGTCGCTTGCGCGGTGGACCGCCTCAGGAGGGCCACGTGCGCTGCGATTATCGCTCATGCATTACCGTTCTTCGCCATTCGTGCCTTACTCAACGAGCTTTGTGCGGAGCATTTATTCGCCCAACCGTATCGTACGACACTCTCATTTACCGTCATCCCACTACCACACGTTCCCCTGCGATCCGCCATTGCCACAGCGGACCGGTCGGTGCGATGTCACAGCTTTTGGTAGACATGCGTGATGCCCTGCTTGACGTGTTGGAAATACCCATCGGTCACGTAGCGGTCCACCTGTCTCCAGAGGCCGGCACGCTCCAACCGGTCCATGTGCGGCTCCAACTCATGGTACTCCTTCACCGTCACCAGGTACTCGAAACGCATCGAGTTCACAATGTAGCCACCTGCAGTAAAACGACCGAGTCAGAAAGATCACCAGGACGCACATACAAAATGGGCACATGTTACATGGCTACATTGCCACCATTGTAAAGGACCGCCTGGTAAAGACATCGCTGCTGACATTTAGGCTCATGAGAAAAATTCTGACAGTGCAGTAATCGTTAATGTTCTCTTGTTTTGACAGTTTCGGACCAGAGATCCACGCCTGTTCCACGGTTTGGGATAAGAAAGTGCTCGCAAATATTTAGGCCTGGACAGAAGCCAGCAGACATGCAGCCACAGCCTCCAGTGTTTATTCCGTTTGTCGGATATGGTCTGAGGGAGCGCGGGCCACGCCGGCGGGGCGCATCGTACCTGGCTTGCAGATCCGAATCATCTCGTCGAAGGCGGTGACTGGCAGGTGGCCCTGAACGAACCCGCCGGCCACCGTCACAGCATCGTAAGTGTTGTCCTGCACGTCAATCCTATGACTCCCAATGGTGTCCTGATGGTGCAAACATATGCAGTCTCAGGCTTAGATCGAGACCGATGGCATCTGAAGCTCTGCAATTCGGGTTCATGGGCAGCGCCGTGACCATTTTCTCAGGCGTGAGCTTTTTAGGGCAATTTAGGCCGGGTTGGGGTTCGCAGTGGGAGAGGTTCGTTCAGCAGTTAGTTCCATATTTAGAATGCGCAGAATTACATCAGTGAGGTGAACGTCACGACAGTGCGCTGACGCTTGTCATCGGCTTCAACGAAAAAGTATGACGGTATATGGGTAAAAATAGAAATATCTCCATTCTGCTCCTGATCCACACGTTAGCACACCCACTCCTGATCTTTTCGTGTCAGCTGTTCGTCCTTAGCGGTGCAGTAGGTCTGCAGTTTTAGCTTTGAGATAACGGCACAGGAGGCTGGCATGCGGGTACCAGCGGTGAGTAGGAGAAATAATACATTCTCATTACTGCATAAATTTGCTTCTTATGAGCAGACTCGCGGCGCAAAGAATCGCAGCCCCTTCTGCCCAAGAAGGATGTTTTCATTTATGCGCAGTTTCTTGGGGTTGAACGACTTTCCTAAAGCCGCAACATATCCGCATTTCGGGCAGTTTTGTCAGTTTAACTTTGATGGTGTTGTTTTGTTTATTTTGTTAGTATTGGTGCTGGTTTCTTAGTGAACACATTGCATTTGAAGCATACGAGGCCAGAACACGAAATAAACACACATTCATCCAATATCAAATGACGCTCATACGTAGCCGCATCTGTCTTTCAACAGCGTTGTTCAGTTCAAAGTGATGTATACCTACCACACTAATCAGAGTAGAACTTGCCTGAATAAGTCGCCGATATACACCACGTGCCCTTGAAATTTCGATCATCTTGCTTGAAGCATCCAGAGCGTCCAGGTGCACGACCCCCGCATCATGCAGCTGAAAACAGTGCAACCAATTCGTCAAGCAGCAGTTATGCCATGCTTTCGCCAGCGATGGCCATGACGCCGTGCAGCATCTAATATGCTATACAATAAATTTGCCCCAATTAGCCCTGCACGCCAAGCTGTTTTACGTGGGTAACGGAAAGTTGAGCACAGGCCACGCTAACGTATGGCGATATGCCGTGGCGAACAGCGAGGGGCGCAGTCTGGATGCGCGTGTGGCACCGGCCGTAAACGAGGGCTCGGGATTACCTGCTCGTCATGAGGCCACGTATTTCGTGTAAACAACACAACAGTAGCCACCGCTTGGCTATAACTGCGCACACTGTAACAGGGGCACTCTCCACTTTTGCAAGCGCAAATGCGGCCTCGTGCAAATGCATCTGGCATAGAATGCATTTGCAAGTCGATGAACTTTTGAGAACTAGCCCAGTCGAACCGACGTAAAACGTCCAACGCATGATCGAATCACGTCGCCCGGAGATCCAACGCATGATCGAATCACGTCGCCCGGAGAACCGACACATGATCGAATCACGTCGCTCGGAGATCCAATGCATGATCGAATCACGTCGCCCGGAGATTCGACGCATGATCGAATCACGTCGCCCGGAGATCCGACACATAGTCAAATTTACGTCGCCTGAAGATCCGACCCTTCCTGCAAAATTAAAGACCCCCTGCAATGTCACAACAGTCGTCCCAGGGTCTCAGTCGGTTAGAGCGTCTGCCCTCCAATCTCCCCACTCGTGGCGGGGCTTGTTCGGGTCGCTTTAGGCGCTCGCTATTTGCCCTTCGCAGGTATGGCCTGCGCCCGGTGGCAGCGGTCGCGTTAAATATTAGTTGACGTCAAAGAGCAGGACGGACCATGCCGAGCATTGCTGCACATTAAACTTTCGTCACTAAATTTTACCGTTGCCTGCAATGGTGTGATCAGATGGTAGGTCAGTTCTCACACAACAGGCACCGCCCAGCGTGAGCTCTAATCCCGGAAATGCATGCATTCAAAAGGTTTGGATTAAATCTTTACAAAAACAGTCGAGCTCTTCGCGCTCCCATAGACCTGTGCGCAGCAACCGATATGGAAAACACAAGCGTGTCCATAATGCGTGGCAGACCAAGCGTTTGGCATTTAGGAGGGCACAAACAACTATAAACATCGCAAGCAATTCTCGGGACAGCGCATGATCCATGACTAGGCCTCAATTTGTTTACACTATCTGATCATCCGATCACATCGGAGACATCCATAAAAATGACGGGCGAATCGACAAGAACGCAGTCAAGAACGCAATCGAGAACGCAATCGAAATCAAAATCGCAATCTCAGTCGCAGGCGACAAGACAATCGAAAAACGAGACGCGCGAATCTAGCTGAGTTGACGCCTGTCCCCGCAGAGCAAAACTTCCGTCTTACCAGCGTTAACCATCATGTCATGTTGGAGAAACCGCATGCATATGGCGTCGAGCTTGGTCCCCAGGGATCGGCGCGGATCTGACAGCCTGCCACGTGGTCCAGTGACGGCAATCTGCGCATCGTGAACGTAACGGGATACTGTTGCACGGAAACTGTTGATTTCAAGTGGCATTTGGCAAGTGAGCTCATTACTGGCCATGTTATCTAGCAGAGGACCGCTGCAGGAGCCCGGAAAAGTCCCACAAGTGATGTTTAATGGACTAGAAAACGTATATGAAGTTCCATTTGAATGCAATTTTTCAAGTACAAATTTAATGTCAGAAGGTTTTACGTGACGCTCAAGATAGTTCTTCCCATGCGGTGGAAATCTGGAACAGCTGAAGTTTCGTAAGAAGGGTTGTGACCGACTACATCAAAACAATGGCTTAGGTCTAGAAGTGTAAGAAATGTCACTTCGGATCGGTCCATGCCATGCAGAGTTCATCTATAACATTTAAAAGAGCCGTACGGGTCACGTGATGTTCCGTGCTGGTCAGCACCAGAAAGGCTCTGTGCTTCAGGCAAGCGTGAGGTGCTGATGAAGCGAGCATTTTCACAACGTTGCATAGGACTGGAACCAGCGGAACGGACATAAAGTTCGATAATGCAAACGGGTCGTTCTTTTTATTAACTAGCACTCCAGCGGCACTTGTCCAGCTACAGGACATGGTTTTTGAGACGTTAGTGTTGGCGTCGATAGTTGCGGCGTCCATAATTTCGAAGTAAGGCTCGACCGATGACGCAGAAACTGAGTTTCAAGATATGGAGTGATATGCCAGCTTCCACTCTTGATGCCTTGGTAGTGAAAATGGGACCCGCTGAAGCCGGTCAGATGTAACAGGCGCGATATTTATCGCACCCGTGTTCGCACGAAGAAGACGGGCGTTTAACTGGCTGCGTCCCGATGGGTGGAAGTCGGTGATGGCCTTGCCCAGTACCGACCGAGGTGAACAAGGTATCTAGTTCGTCCGGTGTGGGGTTCACCGGTTGGGTGGGTGGACCCGTTTGGGTGTTATTACAGGTTGTGGTTGGCGGTACAGCATCGATGGATGTGTATCCTTTATGCGCTGCATGAAAACGTATTGAGAGTCCTTTCTAATGGCTCGCTTTACCGTAATGTTCAGCTGCTTATAGATCGTAAAATCAGCGCTGTTTTCGTGGCACCCCGGCGTCAGCTCACTCAGCTCCAGTGTCTCGTCACTGACAGGAGGCGGCGATGGGCTGCGCACGCGGAAATGACGTACAGGGGCGTGTCTGTCCCAAATGCGGCTCATTTCAATGAAAAACATTCCCACCACCGCTCGCGCACTTCGCCACGTCCAACATCTGTCGCTCAGCACGGGCTGCAAATATGAGCCATGAAGTGGTCAGAGTTCAAGGCAAGCCATTTGCGCTCCGCGACCGCAAATTGGCTCCGACTGGTGGTGAAATGGCGGTGGTGACGATGCCGCGCCAGTGGTGACCAGCGTAGTCGCACATTGCGTCAACGCGGTGGACGGTGGGTTGTTGGACCCCATTACGTAAGCCGTGCCGCTCGAGCCCTCGAAGTCGCTTGTGCGCAGACGGGTTGGTTTGAGCGTCAGAGTGCAGGTCTCCTGCCTCTCTAAGAGAGCGGTGACAACGGTTTGCGGCTGCTCCTCCATATGGTCATGGTCGCTGCTGGTCTGTGACGCGAACGTGGGTGGAAGCTAAGATTTGATGTGTTTCATCTACACGACATATTGTAGGTGTTCAACTTGACTGTTTACCTTTAACACTTGCCTGTCCTGCGTGACAGCCAGCCCGGGGGTAGTGTGTCTCTTATCTTTTGAATGAAACAGCAAAACCTACCTCGTGGAGCGTTTCAAGGAAACTAAACTAAGCTGATAACCCAATCACATTGATTCTTACAACAAACAAGTCCCTAGGCGGGAGGATTCATAATTGAATAGGGCAAAATCTTTAACTTCAGCACCCCCGCCCGGTCCTGTCCGGCCATAGCCATTTCTAAACCTTAAAATATATTTACAACCACTGACCGCAGTTTCGTGTATTCCTCAAAAGCAAACAGCGCAACTCCATACAAGTTTTTTTTTTGGAAAAGAATTAGTTACTTGTCCTAAGCATCTCTTACGTTCGTCAAACTTTTGGGTACGTGGCATGCGCAGGAGCTGGTCCACGGACTGGTATGGGAGGGATCTGAGGTGAAATTCGGCAGTCATTCCAAGGTGGCGATCTGCATTACCTTATACAGACTACCTTACGTTTACAACAGAACCTGATTCTCCTGGTAAATAGGACGGAGGCATTATCTTATCATTAATGTGATATAGCGGGGGAGACGCGGTTCCGATGTTTAAAAAAACGGGAGGTTCAAAACAGCGTGAAGCGCACCATAGGTAACCAACACACTCCTGTAAGAGATAATTATTGGCGTGCAGATGTAATAATCTGCATTCGTGTCAATAAATACCCAAAGTCTGTTAATGATCTACGCTTGTGTCAATGATTGTCAATATGTACAATGGCAAAGGCGCGCTCACTTTTTGCAGAAGGGAGTGTAGAGGAGCAAAGCCTCAAACCTGAAGAAAGATGCGTTCATCTAAAACGAGGAAATAGAACATAACATGTCGTGCGAAAGCGCCCCAGGCGATAGGGTAAGGGGTCCTACATTATCTGGCACATAACGGGCCAAAAGCAGCATATTGTATACCACCTCTCACTTCTTTGTCGTAATCTGCAACTAAGAAATGTATTCCGAAAATATTCCATGGGCGGCAAAATGGGATTTCAGAGCCGTAGACTGTTGGCCACAGACAGGGCCATTCAGGTGACCGTCGCGGCGATGGGCCACACTTCAGTCAGGTGCCCCTACTCCCCTCTCTGGAAATCGGAATATATATGCAATCTGTCGGTCAGCGGAGTCAGTCAGCAGCGTCGGATGCCTCCATATGCGTTGATTATGCCGTAATCCCGGCTTATAAACATGGCAACTCTGTCGGACAAACGTAGTGATGTAAAAGTTTTTGCTGCCTGTTGCCCCCCCCCCCCCACCTCGCCATATCACATTATTTTGGTATTCTTCTTTTTCAAATACGCAGATTTCATCAATGCAATATACCGTTGCCCCTTTTTAGCCAGCCCAGAAGATTGCAATATTTCAGTGGAGAGCAGAAGGGAAGGAGAGAATCCGCCTTATCCCCCCCACCCCGAATAAATCTAACAGGGGGTGGTGACCGCAACTGTGTCAAATTTGTGGTCATGTGCAAGGGAGCTGTTTGATCAGGAGCGACTTTCCTGCAACACTACAATTTGAACAATTATCAGCGTCAACCACATTTTCAAGTTGAACAGTCAGCATCATTCATATGATTAGCATGAACATGAAAGCTGCGTGGAAAAATGATGAGCGTGAGCCTAATCGTGTAAAACTTTCTCATTGTAAGAAAAACTGAACGCAGATCCTGAAAAAAACAGATCGGAGCCCGGCCCAGGTCTCGACCAACAAGCGTCGTAGGGACGCGAAGCCGACTCATCTTGACGAACGAGTCAAGAATCATCCTGACAAAAGTGGGTCCGCGTGAGCAGGTGGTTACGTACGCTCGAGCGCCAGCCATGGGTCCGCCAGGTTTGGGAACTTTTAAAAAACGAATGCAATTCCGACCACTGGAGCAGGTAGAACACGGACCCCGTTACACGCTGCTGGTAAATGTATCACGTACAACAAAAGTACGGGTCTCAAAACAGTGCGTCCCAATAGGTGCGCCAGCGATGGGCCGGGCGGCGATTGATGTCATTGTGCCGAAACTGGTGTAGAGTGTCACACCGTGGCCCACACCAAACCACTGGATCATAAAAACCACGCAGGTGTGTAGTCCAGTCCATCGTGACCAAGGACTGGTCGTTTTCACAATACTTTAGCCGCAGGCATCAAAAGTGGTCACTGTGGTATCGTCATCGATTTCGTTGTCTATGATTACCCAGCCTAGCCTTGGCCACATCCAGCTAGCCTTGGACCGTCATTTACAAAATTGGCGCGCAAAGACAACGTCGGTAAACGTCTGCCTTCTGAACTCTCACGAAAGGCGAGCTTTCCAACGCAAAGATCCTACACATTCGGAGCCGGGCTCGTGGCTGCGGATGCATCTCACCACTTGGGCGACGAGTCCTGTGCCGCACGCCACGTCCATTACGCTCAGGTCACCCCGGCTGACGGGGCCATGTTTCGGGAACAGGCGCAGCACGGCCGCCGCTGCCAGGCGATGTGCGTCGTAAGCGTTGCTCAGGAAATACTGGAGACAATACGCAGCGCTCGTCACGGCACTTACGCATGCCTTCGTGGCCAGCCAATAATAATTGTACGCAAAAAGAGAGGAGACTTCGGATGCACGCTGGTTAGCCAAGCCGTCAGGTCTTCCGCTTTGAAAGTGGGGTGCTAACTATGGCAGACAGACTATGACAGACTATGACAGTGCTAACTATGACAGATTACCGTGTTAATCATGCATGCTAGGATAACCATGTAACCATTTGTATTAATTACGGCAACCGTTCGGTATACACACCGTTCACTCTAGTTACGTAGCGAAATTAGCCGATGACACCAAACCAGACCACGTTACGGTTTTTTCTATAACCGGAGCTGGTACGTAATGGCTTTAAAAATAACCAGTTACTTTAATGGTTGACACAATATGTAATTTGTTTCAACAAACCACCCGCCGTCACGCCTGCGCAGCGCGATCATCCCGACAGGGCTTGCGCGTCGAGATGGTCACCTCGCAGAGCGATCAACTCCGCACTGACGGTATTGCAGGGGTCCCTTACCGATTCATATTCATCGGCCGTGCTTTCATATTGATCAAGCACTTCGTCGGCGCTGTTGCAGTGGATGAGACGGTGTACCAGCTGGCGGTCCTGGCTGGGCCCGACACTGGCTGCAACGCCGGCCTTGCACGCCATCGTGCACGACGGCGGGAGGAGCGCTCGCGCGGAACTGCCGCGCCCATCGAGCCCCACCCCCTTATGTACCGCAAGTAGCGGTGCAACCGGGGCCTTCGCGCGGGTCTCAAACCCTGGTGAGGCAGCTCAGGCAGAGCGATCTGGTTAAAACTGGTTCACGCAGCGCGCAATAAGCAACTTGCCTGCCACTCAGCCTCAGACGCTGACACTTGCACGCATGCGTCATGAACAACCCACTCATGCATTAGTATATATATATATATATATATATATATATATATATATATATATATATATATATGTATGTATTAATGTATGGGAGGGATATTCGCGACGCATGCGTGCGAGCGTCAGCGTCAGCGTGTGCGTTTGTGTGTGTGCGGGTATGTGTATGTGTGTGTGTATGTGTGTATGTTTTGTGTGCGTGTGTGCGTGTGTATGTATGTGTGTGTGTGTGTGTGTGTGTGTGTGTGTGTGTGTGTGTGTGTGTGTGTGTGTGTGTGTGTGTGTGTGTGCGTGTATGTGTATATGTGTGTATGTGTGTGTGTGTTTTGTGTGTGTATGTGTGTGTGTTTGTGTGTGTGTGTGTGTGTGTGTGTGTGTGTGTGTGTGTGTGTGTGTGTGTGTGTGTGTGTGTGTGTGTGTGTGTGTGTGTGTGTGTGTGTGTGTGTCGGTGTGTGTCTGTGTGCAGCCTGGCCCCGAGACCGCGCTGAGATCACATGGTGAATATATCAGAGACTGACAAAGACGTCGCATTTCTGAGCCCTGCCAGACAGCGTGATATTACTAACACACAGTACAGGTGCCGTATCGACGTTGCGTCTGGTGCGTTTCTGCACACGGTTGAAATGGCACGGCTTTATGCATGTATTAAATACATTTTGAGCTTATATATAATATATCTGAACTATTATGTAAAATAACACGAGTCGCTTTGGTATACCCCTGATTGTTTGTTAATAAGTTGATTCACTGTTCTCTTAATCCTCCATAAGTTTATGTAGAATATCACGCCTACTTTCTGGCGGCCTACCACCGCCAAACCATTGACTACGACTGTCATTTAAGTCAAATCCATCGGGTAGGTGACCAGTTGACTTACTTTCTAAGCTTGGATGGGCTGGCTGGGCCGATAACGTTCGCCTAGCCTGTCCTGAGAACTTGCGCTATACACGCATTTCGGCCACTTTGGCTGACGTCCGCGGTGACAATTTGGTTTCAATTTTTGGTCGACCCCAAAGTTGTTTTGCTGCTGAAGAACATGCAATTAAAACATTACGTAAAGCTGCATTTTTATGAGCGCTTGAAGTGGGTTATGAGCGCAGAAGAACTACGTAAATCAGCCGGTCGCAATCCAGGAGAAAACGTGTCATTTGTCGTTAATAAAGGGTGGCCCGAGGCGCCAAAATCGGCTACATGCCGAAGAGCTGGGCATGGCACATACAGGCCAGACGATGTGGATCACTTTCGTGCATACTGTCAGGATGTACTTGCTTGCAAAAAGTGAAACTGAGCTAGCGCAAAGTTTTCAACCCATATGTCAATAATTGCGACATCAAATTAGGTAATGGCTGGCAACCAGACGGGTCACTGAAGTGGCCGCGTTCAAAATTTGCATGACGAACGCTTTGAAACGGGCTGGAAGTTGATGTACTCAACAAATGCCTTACACTCCCAATATTTCGGCGTTCAGACTTGGGAGTTCTTATGTTGAAAATAATGGACCTTCAGCATATTAGCAGGAAGGGCTCAAGCTACGTTATCAAGAAACCGTGGGTTCTAATGAGGAAACTGCTTGCTCCAAGCGTGTTCATGGTTATATTTTTTCACAAAAATCTAATAATGCCAACCCAATATTTATTTCACCCTAGAGTACACTGCAAATGTGATGGTTCCATTACTCGGCGCCATTTTTGAAGTGCGTTCAGGTGGACGGTATTCCGCTGAATTGTACTTTAACACGCGCCTGGGTGACCGGTTGAATACCCTTCGCTCGGGTGGGGGAGATCGATTGCCCTCCTCCCGCCCGAGATCTCAAAAACTAAGATAGCAAGGGCAACAAATTTCCAGGGAGGATTGGTTCGCATGTGAAATTAATATGTAAAACCTGAAGCTCCTAGGCCTTGACCCCTGGGTCACATAAGGTCAAGCAAAATTGAACTCCAGATTGGTATTCAGTGTCCCAGACCTCCTCGTGCAACAGCCATGAACCTGGATGCATGCCCTAAACAAAAGGTCAGCTGTGTAAATTAAAGGTATGTGAACTTGTTAGACATTTAAAAGGTCAAGGTGACCAAAAAAAATCTGCGAAATTGCTGATATTTTTCCAGTCAAACATGCGTCGGGGATTGGGATACGCTGGGTGTTGGCCTGGGTTATTCTGGTTGAGTGACCAAATATGACCTTAAAAAAATTAATGGAACATGCCTGTTGTGGCCCCTTTCGAAAATGAATTGGAGATGAGCACCAAAAACTACCCTTTAAGCAATATCCCGAGTGAAGCGTTGGTTGGTACTGACCTCGGTCTGACATTCATACCTGACCCTAGTTAAATGGAATTTGTTGCAACTCTAAGTTCAGTTGACGTATGGCCTAGGAATACAGGCTTCCCAGCTAGTGTTGGTGTCCTCTTCTTGGTTCCGAGTTGTGTCTTGTCAGAAAGTCGCCCATCGGCCAGGTCATGCCTCCGTGAAGCATCTGAAACATGGAAACCATAGCGCCCCTGCGATGTCGGTAGTGCAGCAAACTGGGATAAACAGCAGCGAAACCCGTCGTTCGCCGTCAGGTCTATCAAAACAGACTGTAAATATTACTCTAATAGCGATGCAAAAGTTACCCTCGTTGAAACGCTGCCTTACTAGATGCTACCACTGAACGGTCTGCGGGCAGAACCAGGTCCCGTGCCGCCGGTCGCCAGGGACACCCTCGCACGGCCGACGGTGTCCCTGGAGTGACGTGCCTGGTGACTAGGTGCCGGTCAGAAGCCTCATCAGTCATGCGTCGCCGGTCGGGGACTGTCCCTGTGGTGGCATTACATCAGGCTGAGTTTCCGGGTTTTACAGTTACGGACACAGTCACGAAAACAGATAGCCACGGCATCGGTTGTGTGTCTCGCGGTGTATCGCATGCGATATGGCGTGTTATCTCAATATCTGAAGTGTCCAGTTAGCTCCACCAGCACTTTTAGAGAATGCGACGTGCACTTATTTTCCAGTGCGGTAATTACCAGTTGCATAGATCCAGTTACATACACATATCCAGTTACCTCTGGCAGTTAAACATGGTGATGGTCACTACGGCATCTTCAAATGTCGAACTCCCCAAGAAAATCATCCCCTAAATGAGAAGTGTTCTAGTCTGGACATTCAGACAACTGGACTTACAGATCGAGAAAACCAACAACAGTTTCAGGACACCGGTGTACCGGAAATCAACAGCATCCGGTCGGTACCAGAACTTCCAGTTACATCATCCGGACACAGCCACGAACCGCATCATGAGATGCCTCCAGGGTCGCGCAAGTTCATCGGCGACGATGACGCAACTGGGAAGAGAGAAAGAAGTCACGTAACCGAAATGCTACGCAGGAAGCGGCACCTTACAGGATTCATAAACCGCAGAACTAACTGGCATGCTCAACAAGCACAACAACCAAAAAAGGAACTTTATAATTACCACGCAAGAAAAACTTACCGGAGAAGATTAGAAAAAAATCTGTAGACGATACAGCATTGGGACAGTCTTCAGAGGAAGCTTAACGCTCCGGAAACACTAACCAAAATCAGATTACCGACACTTAAGGAGCACATAAAGAACTGCATCTATGAATGACAATGTCAGTTATGTCAGTCTTGTCAGTTGTGTCAGTCAATGTCAGTCTTGTCAGTTATCGCTAATCCCCTGCAGTGGAAAATCCCAGTTGCGAAACAAAAATACTCCCGGAATATTTTAAGAAAGCATCGAGCGGCACATGCGTAAAGGCCAAACCAGTGTAGGCACAACTTCAACAGCGAGGACGGAGACGGAGTGACTGAAGGACCCCCATGGCTTGGATGCATGGAATACATAACTTGTTCCTTTAATAAAGTTACGCTTCCGAATGCTACCCTGCAACAGTGACACCGTCCGCAGGTGATTTGTGTGGTGGGAATGAGTTGATGTGATGGAGGGGGTACTGCGGCCGTACGGTCCTAGTTCATTCCTTGCACCAAGTATGCAGTCGCATGCTCAGTTGACGAATTATCATTTGTGAGTGTTTGAAACCGACTGGACGTTTCGCCTCGGCACCTTATAAAACAACGACATTTGGTTTGACACTCGACCGGCCCTTCTATGTGTGATAGCTTGGCACTCAGAGTACCTTGGAGCCCTCAACTTGGGGTGCAGACCCCTTGAGTTTTTCCGGAGTAATTTCGCCCCAAGGCGTGGCATAACCCCTACAAATTTTGCATACCTGAACCCAAATGAATAGCGGATCCTTTGGCATACAGAAATGATTATACCTTGTAAGGTCGCTGACCTATGGCAGGTCAAAGTGAGGCTGTGGCTATCAGCGAAGGCAATTTCTAGGGAATCGTCCAGTCTCTGATACAGCTTCTAAGACGATTAGACAACTGGAATTAGGATAACGACAAATATCGATGGGCTCGGGCAGGTATAAAAGTCAAACTGAGGTTAAAGCCAACCGTTTATTCTGAAGAGTGCGCTTTGTTTCCGTGCGCTCCATGAAGAGCGTGTTTTTATTTATGGCAGAGACAGCAACGGACACCTTCTGTGGACTTCGTAAAGGTCAGAGAACGCCGCTGACCTAAGATGACCCACGCCAACCTCTAGTTTATAGGAGCATACCACCTAGAGTAGTCATTAACGTTTATTTGTATTCCATAATCAAAACAGTCTTGTAGGTTTTTGGTCACCATGACCTTCTAAAGGTGAAAAAGTCACTGAACTATGATGAGCACCGGTGACCTCTTGCGTAAAACAGGTAGGTAGATTCCAGG